TCTATTTTTAACTATTTTTAACTATTTTTCCCTATTTTTTTGCTAAAAAAATAATAAATAATTATTTTATTGCACAAAAAAATATAATAACTATTTTTCACAATGTTAATAATTATTTGTTTGCATTTTGATCGGTTATTTCAAAAGAAAATGAGTTTTGCTTCACAAAACCCCCATTATGACTCCTCGAGCAAAAGGATGTCTGTTCCTGTCACTATGAATTTGCTTCCTAATGCTATTATAGGGGGGGGTGAGGTCTCTGAGGGGCTTGGCCCTCGGAGGTTGCCGCATGCCTCCCCCGACACACCCATGCACTTGCACGAGCACACCAACGTGCATTTCCTTTTCCCAAGTCGTGGCACGCCGGTGCCGGTGCCCGCCGACGCCGACGCCGCCGGTTTTTTAATTTATTAATTATTAAAAAAAAAAAATTAAAAAAAAAAAAATTTAAAAAAAATTAAAATTATTTCCCTTCACTTGAGTATTAATTATATTCACTTATTTTAATTGATTATTTATAAAAAAAATTATTATTTAATAGCTAAATTCATATTATGACTCCTCGAGCAAAAGGATGTCTGTTCCTGTCACTAGGATTTTGCTTCCTAATGCTATTATAGGGGGGGTGAGGTCCTTGAAGGTGCCTGCGGGGGGCGACAAGGGGGCTGCCGCGGGGCTTGCCTAGCACACCAGGGACCCTTGCCTAGCGATATGACATGCCCATTTGTTCTCCCACCCCCCCTAGGTGGATGTCGGGGGCATGTCGTGGCGCGGTGGCATGGTGATCGGTGGTGGGCAAGCCGACATAATCGAGCTCTAGCGTGTTGTCACCGCAAGCAAACGTAGGTCGGTGTTGGTCCCATGGGAGCAACGAGTGGGTGCTTGGGGGCTAGTGTGCCTAAAACTCCGATGATGCCTAGCAATGCGAGGTGCCTGTCCGTTCTCCCACCCAATCGGGTGGATGTCGGGGCATGTTGCTGAGCGGTGGCGTTGTTGGGGCATGTGGCACGCTGACCTTGTCATGCGCCTATATGCGGCACCCATGGGCTCAACACCGACCGAAGTTGGGAGCAAGTGGGATTCTGAGGCCGGGCTTTCCTAGAATGCCGATTGGTAATGCCTAGCAACGCGACATGCTTGTTCGTTCTCCCACCCACCCGGGTGGATGTCGGGGGCATGTTGCAATGCGGTGGCAGGCTATACAAAAAGGCAAGCTTGACCTCGGCTCCCCCTTGTTGCCCCTTGCAAGGGCCTCCAAGGCGGTTGGTGCTTGGCCCTTTGAGGCAACGAGCGGCGCATGTGGGCGCGAATTGGCAGGTGTGCCTAGCATTGGACCCTTTGGTGCCTAGCAATGTGATGTGCCCTGGCGTTTTCCCACCCTCACGGGTGGATGTCGCGGGGCGCGTAGCTGCGCAGTGGCATTGTTGGATCTCGTGCTAGCCATGCTTGCAATGTGTCCCTCGAAGCCAACGAGAGCCGAGCACCAACCAGTAGGCGTGGGAATGCTAGGAGCGGCCTTGCCTAGCACACCAACAATTGTTTGCCTAGCAACATGACATGCTTGTTCGTTCTCCCACCCACCCGGGTGGATGTCGGGGGCATGTTGCAGTGCGGTGGCATGGCAATTGGCGGTTGGCTAGCCAAATAATATGTAGGTTGGTGTTGATCCCATGGGGGCAACGAGGGGTAGGCGTGCCTAAACTCTTGATCTTGCCTAGCAATGCGAGGTGCCTGTTCGTTCTCCCACCCACCCCGGGTGGATGTCGGGGGCATGTTGCAGCGCGGTGGCATTATTGGGGCATGCGGCATGCTGGCCTTGTCATGTGCTTTACTTGCAGCACCCATGGGCTCAACACCGACCGAAGTTGGCAAGAAGTGGGATTCGATGTCGAGCTTGCCTAGAATGCCAAATTGGTACTGCCTAGCAACGCGACATGCTTGTTCGTTTTCCCACCCACCCGGGTGGATGTCGGGGGCATGTTGTAATGCGGTGGCATGGCTAAAAAAAAAAAAAAAAGGCAAGCTTGGCCTCGGCCCCCCCTTCTTGCCCCTTGCAAGGTACTAGATAGAAGTAGACATCGGGTGGTGCTTAGCCCTTTGAGGCAACAAGCGGCGCATGTGGGCGCGAATAGGCAAGCATTGGACCTCGTGGTGCCTAGCGATGTGAATTGCCCCTGCGTTTCCCACC